AATTGCAATTTTCCAAACGCAACAAACAGACTCTTCTACCACCCCTCCCTGAGATCAATTCAATTTACCACGCAGAATCTGCGGGGTCACGTGACCAGCCCCGACCAGGGTCTTTGCTTCCCAAGAGCAAAGAGCCTGGGAACGAGGTTGGCTGTAACCAAGGTGGCAAAACACCTTGAACTATTAATGGATGTACGGGATTCTATTATAAATTATTTTTTAGATAATATTGCTTAATAAAGGGAATGAAATTTCTTACTTCTTGGGCAAATACAATTTGTTGACATGAAATCTTTCGTGCAAGCACATGTGCAAACTTTATATCGACATAGTCCTCCATTTGAACACGACGCCTTACAACATGACGATACCTTAGAAAAGAAAAAAGTTAGCCATGCCCATGCTTTTCGGACCGATTAGTCCTAGAGCTAATGCCTAACTCTGTTTGGGCCTGTACCCAAAGCTTCTCTAACCATAGGGCGTATATATAAGTTATAACTCTATTTCTCACTCTCCATAACGTTCGAATATCTCTTGCAATTTTTATTATTTGTATTATTATTAAAAAATACGCGCATTCTATCAGCATAAGCAGTCCAATGACTGAATCCATGACAAACCTCCCACATGACAAATCCCCGACGACAATATCCCTACCGTCAAAAAGCCCCAATTACCGAATTCAAACAAAAACTCCACATATTTGTTTATCGATTTTTTAAATGTACACTATAGTAGCGGCCGCAACCATCGAGTGCAAAGTCTTGGAAAATATTAGTCCAACAAAAGAGGAATAAAAGGAGAACACGTGCACACTATCAACTAGAAATATATGCAGGGACGCCGGAACTGGGGGGGCAGGAGGGGCAGCCGCCCCCGTTGCCCTTTACCAGGAGGGGCAAGGGGGGCAAAGGTGCCCTTTCAATTTAAAGGATTGCCTGGGGGAAATAGCGAATTGTCAGAAATGTTAGTGCAATACTTTTACGAATTTGCTTCAGAAAACGCAAGAAATGCAGTCATCGAGCTTCAAGAATAGCACAATCGCCTGGCGGAGAACCCCCACACACCCCTATCATCCAATAAATAGAAAACATGATTAGGCAAAGTTCAACTCCCGATGTTTTGCAAACATCTCTTAGTATATATCAATTCAAAAGTGCCCTTTCACGAAAATCTGCCCCCCCCCCTTGCCTTCACATCGTTCCGGCGTCCCTGAATATATGCATGCAACAACCCCTTGCCTATATTTTCCAAACATTGTTTCAACATGAAGTATTCGTAATTACGCCAACACTGAATGCAGGCTCGCGTTGCACGTCATGTTAGTCATAACCTGATATCAGGCTCTATTTTACAAATAAGAGCCTGACACAATCCTTAATCCGATCGCTTTCCACCCACAGCAAAGTTTATATTTAGTATCCAATCAAAATGTCGCAGGAGAAATTTAAATTTCACACAACGACAACAACAATCTAATTATAGTTGTGATCCCTATAAATATATCAACGTGTCTGAGTGTCTTCAGCATAAGAACGTAAAAAAAAGTTGGTCCTTGATTAATAACCTTCTTGGGAAAAATTCAAAATCAACCATTATCAATGAAATTAGGACTGATAGTAATGTAACTCTTACAGATAGAAACCTGATTGCAAACAAATTAAATGATTATTTTGTCAATATTGGTCCCTCGCTTGCACTCGGGGTGGAAGGAAATCATCATACCTCTGCTGGTGTGACAAATCGTGGTGATTTAGAATGTAACACAACTTTTTGTTTTTCTGATATAAGTGTTCATCAAGTTCTAAACAACTTAAAACAACTAGTAACATCCAAAGCTACTGGCGTAGACAAAATTCCAGCTAAAGTTCTTAAATTATCTGCAGATATAATTGCACCATCTCTGACAACAATCTTTAACCAATCACTACATACTGGCATATTTGTCAATGACTGGAAATTAGCACGTATGCAACCGATTTATAAATCTGAGGATAGAAGCAAATGTGAGAACTACCGTCCAATCTCTATTCTCCCAGTTGTAAGTAAAATCTTTGAAAAAGAAATTTTTCAGCAATAGACACTTCCCGAATTTGCTTGAGTGCACACGAAACAATAGCTTGGAATCGAGGCGGACAATGTAATCCATTGGAAAACTATACTTATTTCCAATGGATTACATTGTCCGTCTCCATTCCAAGCTATTGTTTCGTGTGCACTCAAGCAAATTCGGGAAGTGTCTATTATATATAGTTATTTATCTGCAAACTCACTAATTTCAAAGTTTCAATCTGGATTTCGACCTAAACATTCATCTCTAACCTTACTTCTCCAGATGTTCGATGAATGGCTAAAAAATATGGATGAGGGTAAAATAACTGGTCTTATTATATATCAATAATCAAAGTCGCATTTTTCTAGTGTTTTATTGGTTGAGAGCATATCACGTGAGAGTGACGAAATTAGGCTGTCTCCCTCGCAACAGCGCGAGAGGGAAACAATACGTTATCGACCGGCGAATAACAAAAAAAATCACGTGCATGCGCCATCACGTGAAGATGCGACCTTTGGACATGCCTAGCACGTAATTAAAACTTTCGCTTTAAGTAACTGCAGTGTAGCCAGTGTTTAATATAACGTTTTAACAATCAAATATTTCATGTATTACGTTAATTTGTTCTTTAATTTGTTGTTTCTTTGACTATTAATATATAATAAAACACTTATTTACTGAGACCTCGGGAAAGCAGTGTGTTTTGTGGACCCTCGACCGTCGATGTTTCCCTCGGCTTCGCCTCGGGAAACATCGACGGTCTCGGGTCCACAAAACACACTGTTTCCCTCGGTCTCAGTAAATAAGTGATAATTATTATATATCAATAGTCAAAGTCGCATTTTTCTAGTGTTTTATTGGTTGAGAGCATATCACGTGAGAGTGACGAAATTAGGCTGTCTCCCTCGCAACAGCGCGAGAGGGAGATAATACGTTATCCACCGGCGAATAACAAAAAAAATCACGTGCGCCATCACGTGAAGGTGCGACCTTTGGACATGCCTAGTACGTAATTAAAACTTTCGCTTCTTATAACTGCAGTGTAGCCAGTGTTTAATATAATGTTATAACAATAAAATATTTCATGTATTTACGTTCATTTGTTCTTTAATTTGTTGTTTCTTTGACTATTGATATATAATAAAACATGCACTTATTTACTGAGACCTCGGGAAAGCAGTGTGTTTTGTGGACCCTCGACCGTCGATGTTTCCCTCGGCTTCGCCTCGGGAAACATCGACGGTCTCGGGTCCACAAAACACACTGTTTCCCTCGGTCTCAGTAAATAAGTGATAATTGTTTCTCTGGATATCAAGAAAAGATTTGATTCAATTAACCATCAAATTTTAATGTCAAAAATGAAAGACCAGTTTGGTATTCGTGAAAATGAATTGAATTGGTTTACCTCTTACTTGACTGATCGTCAGCAAGTTTGCTGTGTAAATGACCAAATATCCTCTTGGAAATCCATAGAAAGTGGTGTGCCGCAGGGATCCATTCTCGGTCCTTTGATGTTTTTATTATATATTAATGATTTGCCGCAATATTTAAAATTTACAACTCCGGGTTTATATGCTGATGATACGCAGATATTTGCCTCGTCTGATAATTATGATGAACTGGTGGATCTATTAAATTCTGATTTGAAAAATATTAGTAGATGGCTCTCGGATAACAAACTGCAACACCATACTACTAAAACTAAGCTAATGTTCATAGGCTCCCGGTACAATATCAAAAATGAAATTGGAGATAAATTAGTGACCTTTAAGAATAAACCATTAAAACGGTACAGATCTTTTAAATGTTTAGGAGTTGAGTTGTTCCGTTGGGAAGTTCACATTAATGCAATCTGTAAAAAGGTTGGTGCAGGGATAGGAGTTTTAAAACGAACAAAACCATTCGTCCCCAATGAAACCCTGCACATCATCTATAAGGCGTTAATTCTGCCATATTTTGATTATTGCTCCCCTTTGTGGGATAATTGCGGAATTGTACTAAAAGAAAAACTACAGAGATTCCAAAATAGAGCTGCAAGGGTGTTGACGGGAGGAAGTTATGATACCAACTCCTCTGAGCTCCTTGAACGGCTTAACTGGAAAAATCTTGAAAACAGATTTAGATTTAATAAAGTGGTTCTGGTATACAACATTCTTAATAATGGTACTGCCCCCTGTCTTCGAGAATTCTTTTCTGCACGAAGCAATATAATGATAATGACTATCATCTCAGAAATTATGATACAGATCTCTCACTTCCAAAACCTAAGAAAGAATTTCTTAAAAGAAGCATTAGGTATAGTGGAGCTGTACTGTGGAATAGTCTTTCTGCTGAGGCTAAATCTGCTCATTCGATTTATTGTTTCAAAAGACTTACTTGAATCTTGTTTTTAATTGTATTCCATTTGTAACTACACATTATGCTCTGCAGGGTAATATTCTTTTTGGGTCTGTGGGTTAATTAGTTTTTTCTTCATTTTTATATACTTGTAAATAGCTAAATAGACGCCCCTCATGAAAACCAGCCGTATAGCTGATGAGGATAGCGTCTCTAAAGAAATTAAATACATACATAATAGTATAATCTAATTAGCACCAACCAATCAAATGACAGATTAAAAAATCTTTTGTCTCATAAACCAATCAGATTTACAACCGAAATACGGTTGTGAAAACATGGGCTTTTGTTAAGGTTTGTATCAGGCCTATATATTTATTTATAGGCCTGATCGCAGGTTATGTTAGTCATGGCAACACGATAATTTTAATTTTTTGGACAAACCGGGAAAAATAGATGAAATTTTAACACTTTTAAATACAGAACTATCAACTTCTAAAATATATAAAGTAGGTATAATATTTTGGTTTCTATTGGCTTTATTTTAATGTAAAATTCAAAACGAAACTCTACGTAAAACGTCAGTTAAAACTTAAATGTGAATTGAAATCAACCGCTTTTTGCCCATGTTTATCAACTCTTCAACTCGAGCTTCAACTTATTACTCGCACTTTGAAATTAAATAAAGATTAATTTAACTAAGAAATGTTCGCAACCAATGCATAGGAAGGACTTGAACATCAAGAACAAAGTCTACATTATTATAAAGTCATATATAAACAATTGAAACAAACTTGCCGTATACTTCAGGATTTCTCATACTAAATCAATTCTTATAAATGTTTACGTTTAAAAACGGTAAAATTTTTTTTCAATTTGTTATGTGAAACAATTTTCCAAGCTTTCTGACATGTATTTTTTATATTTTATCTCTTCACTCCTGGCAAACAGCCATATTTTGAGATCAGTGAGATGACCACTCACCGAACCACGCACGGTAACCCACGCCCGCGATCATTGATGAACTTTAGACTTCGCTAATGCTTTCGTTTTCCCGGGTGTAAATAGCCGGGCGGAATTAGTACCCTCGCCCCGGGCTTACGCCCGGAACGGCGCTCCGCGCCGTTGGCTCGGGGAATATAGGCCAGTAAATTTTATTTTACAATATATATTTTATGACATATTTTTACTTTTATATACATTACTATGCTGACCTTTGCAAGATTGGGCCGCCTGTGATATATTTTGTACTTGTATTTTGGCACGTTACAATTAAGGGCGTCTAAATCAATTGCCGAACTTGATTAAGTTCGGTGCATAAAAAATTCGTCGCCTAAACTGCGTTGGCAAGATAATCAAATTCAACATCGCTATACCTTAAAACTATGGGAAAATGTAACGCCTTGTAACTCACCAAAATATAATAAGTATACTCCTTATCATTAGTAAGATTGCTTGTTTCCACTTGAGAATATAAGCGACACTGTAGTTGTCCAAGGCATTCATCAACAACACCAATACCAAATGATTGACATTCTGAATTTCCTATGCATCTTATGAAACATTCTCCATTCTGCCTAACACAAAAGGTCTGCATAGCTGGTACATCAAGTCTCTTTCCTGTTTTCAAGAACAAAGGCATTTGAATCATAGGAAAAAAATATTGTGTTATATGGGGCGAGCCAGCCCGGTTACCCGAGCTGGCCCGGTTTAGGGGAGATTCCGCCTTTGTTATTATTTCCTACTAAATTTCATTTTGTGTTTATTGGAAACCGAGCTGGCCCATGATCTCGCTTTGACCAGATGTGAGACGAGGGTGATTTTGATGTATCAGGGCCGTAGGAAGCTCTTTTCGATTGGGGGGGCTGAAAGCGAGGGCCGAAGGCCCGAGGAAATTTTTAAATTTAGAGTCTCTAAAATGCCATTTCCTGGACTTTGGGGGAAGATTTAACAGAATTCTGATAGTCAGAAAACAGCGTTTTAGTATGTCGAAATTTACAGGAAAGTATGGGCCAGACTGTAGTATTATAAATGCGCGGCGGGAATTTTCGTCGTAAATGGCAGTTGCGCGGAAATGAAGGCAGAACATTTGAGAAAATTTCAAAAATCTGGAGTCTCTAGATGGTCTGAAATGGCATTTTCAGAGTTTTCTTTCGCAAGACCCAACACGCAAAAGACAAAATAAATCATTAGTTCATCAAAAATGTGCAGATTTTGTGGGATTTTCTTGAAAATGCGCGACAGAAATTCAGCTAAAATCTCTACGCGAGGAACGATCTGGAGTATGAGTAATATCTTCATTCTTTGCAGTTTGTCACAGATTAAATGATAAAGTTTGCATGATTTTGAAAAAAGAATGATTGTTAGCAAATTATTGGGGGGGCTGCAGCCCCCCAGCCCCCCCCGGTTGCTACGGCCCTGTGTATTGAAATAAGTCGTGATGCACGATTCAGCAAAACTACATTATTTTTCTTGTGATTATCGTATAATTGCGAAAGGAAGGTTGTTAGTCGTCTTGGACTACGAGATCTTTTTGACTACATTTGAGTTTTTTTAGTCGGCGTTTGAACTTTCGTTTGAGCCTAGAGACTTATTTCAATACATCAAAATTATCTCGCCTTCCATCCTGTCCCGGCAAACCTGGGTCATGTAACAGCCCCTAAGCGAAATCCCGAACTGACCCGAAATCTCTGGTGACCCGAAATTGGTGGTGACCGGAATAGTTCGATCTTAAAAGGTCTCTGTGAACGATTCTGTGGCTTTCTCCTCCGCAGAGGCTTCTTAAGTATTTACAACTAACTTACATGAAGTTTCTTGAATAAAAGTGAGCGCGCGGGGAGTGATGGGATTTGCTCTTTCCTGTTCGCTCACTTTTTTCTCACGAGAAACTTCATGTAAGCCTCTGCGGAGGAGAGAGATTCTGTGGGTCATAACCGTGAAAGTTGTTCGCGAAAGTGCGAATTGCATGTTTGTGAGAAAATATATTTTTATTACCTCCGCCAGGAGGTTATGTAATCATCTGGGTTTGTTACCTCCGCCAGGAGGTTATGTAATCATCTGGGTTTGTATGTGTGTATGTGTGTATGTTGTGTGTGTGTGTGTATGTGTGTGTGTATGTGTGTTTGTCTGTGAGCCGATAACTCAAGAAATACCAAACATATTCATACAAAATTTTTTGAATGCATTTCCCATCGGCTAAGGAAGAACTGATTAAAATTTGGTTGAATTTGGTTAAAAATTGAACGTGAAATGAACCAGGGGCGGATCTAGGGGTCGTCAAATCAGTCGCGCGACTGAAGTAAAAATTGCCTACTTAAAAAAAATTGACTCCAGCTATCTATAGTGGCCAGTAGATCGAGTTACTAAAATTTTGAATCGTACCGGTAGTCCAGTTATCGGACTGCGGCAGAGCTTCGGCAAAGTAATGTTAGTCAGTCACGAACAGCGGTCTTACGCATGAAAGTTGACGGATTCGGGGGTCAAATCCGGCTATCTGATTGGCTGACACGCTCATTTCCATGGTTACGGCCATTTGCGACGGATCTGTGGGGAGGCCTGACGGATTTGCAGATTCAGGGGCTCTGTATGAGCCTTCTGATTGAACCATTTAAAAAAATTCTGCACTGTCATTGGCTTATATTTTCGACGGATTCGCAACGTGAGGTATTCGTCAACACCGCATTAGTGTTTACCTCTGAGTGTTTACTATTTCGAACGTTTACTATTACGAGCGATTTCTACCAGCGATATCTGGAAACATTTTCGACAATGTTCAGTTTGCGATTGCGGCAAACGATTTGATCTCTATACAACGTTTGTATACGGAGCTTGAAAAGAATATCGATGCCTCACGGACGAATTTTGTTGACAAGCTACTGAGCGGCGCCATCAACAACACAAGCAGAAGCCTCGCTAGAAATTTTGGCGCAGAGAGTTACTGCTAGAGAAAGACAAAGCTTGCACTGCAATAAGGTAGATAAATTTATGGTTTTATAGTGATGTATCTTTAGTTCATATTAAAGGTTTATAAACCGGAGTACCAAGCCATCGGTGTTGTTAATGATTGTCTGACATATGATATTTTAATATATTCGCTATGCTGTATTGCTGTATTAGCATATTAAATTCTCGCGTCAAGAAGCTAAGATATGTTAATATTCAATGTCTACATTGTAAGCATTTGTTGATTCTCATGTTAGTGAAGCTTTATTTAAAATTTCTTTATATTTATGCATTAATCACACAACATGTACGCGTAACGCGTATACGTGTATTGTTTATCCATAGCCTTTCGACATGGCTTGAACATAGACCGCATTTGTCTGATGTAACATGATGATGTGAAATATTTAATTGTAGGTAGGTTGAAAAGCTCTTTGACTGGTAGCCATTCTGATGTTACTAGTTTATTAATAGTATATTTTGTGTTCAATATATAGACCACAGTAAGACTTTATTAATAGTAAGGGTTTAGTTTATTAATATTTGATATAACATCTTTGACTTAGTTAATGAATATGTGGTTGTTTTTTTGGAGCTCAGGCTACTGGCAATTACTTGTTATGTATAGTTCTGTGTTTTTGGTAACAGAACAGTATATTTCCTTAATGCATTTGCTGCCATATGATTTTAGAAGTTTTACAATGATACACTTATAAGCATATAGTACCAATATGACGGCGATTCTTAATCCACAGGCAAACATGTTAAATTGCTGCTGAGTTTTAAAGTATTATCATCAATATATCTTTGTGCATTTGTAGTTGTTCTTACAGTGCCTGTGGATAAGAATCAAATGTTCGTTTGAGTTTATCAATTTAATCTAAATATGTTTTATAATTTGGTTAATTAGGATTTAGGTTAATAGGTGTGCGGGGGGGTGGGGGGGGGGGTGGGACCAAATCGCATTTTATGTACGGAAAATTCTAAAAATCCAGTGGCAGACTATCAACATAACAATTATTTAGCGCCCACTCCCCCGTCTGGAGTCGACCACGCCCAGTCGAGACCACGCCCAGCGCCGATAACGCCCCGTCCACCAAAAAATTTTTGACTGAGGTACGAAAAATCCTAGATCCGCCCCTGAAATGAACAAAATTTTGTCTTGCTTTTCTCGGTCAATTAAAAAGAAAATTACTGAATGCGTAATTAGGACGTGTATAATTTATGCACGCAGTACTAAGACAATAATGAGATGATAAACCTCATTAAGCTTCAGCCTTCATTATCTATTGTCTTAGTTGCATTTCACGCGACAGAAATTCAGTGTCTAAAACAAGGCTTACGGAGTTACGCATTATTGCGTTCATCAAAGTGCCAGTTCATTCAAATTCTAATAACATTAGATTACTTCAATAAAAAAACGCAACCTCGGAATTTCCCAAGAAATCGACATTGTTTTAAAGACAAAAGATTTTAGCTGCCTGGGAATTTAAAATAGCACATGAACTGTCAAAGTTACTGCACGCGCGAGTGCATAAAGCAAAATTTATGCATTTATTTAATGACACTTAATAAGTTTTTATTTTACAAGTTCTGTACAGTACAACAACAGTAATATGATCTATTGGCAATTCGAGTTCAATTCGCGGGGGCCTAAAATCTTTTATGCTTAAGAATTGCAAAGTGGATTTCTTAGGAAATTCCAAGGTTGCGTTTCACTTCCGAGTAGCGGGCGGAGGTATGCAGTCTCTGAGTGCCCTCTAGTTGTACTTGTTATAGTAGTGAGACCAGTGGTCTGTTTTGGCAGGGTTTGGCTAGCCCGCCCGCCAGAAATGCCTCATGTAAACACGAGGTAAAATTGGTCTCGGCAAGGCGACATAGCTTGGGTGAGGTATGTGCAGTATAGGCATCGGATCGTAACAATTGGTGAAAGGAGAATGCAGATGGTTGGGCACTTAGGAAATGTTGATTGACTCGCCAAGCAAAATACCGTGCATGCGGTAGGCAGATAGTGACGGTCTGAAAATCTAAACACAGATGGTTATATATTACGATATGTACCATTTGTAGTCAGATGGTGACGATCCGTGAGTATGAACACAGATGGTTAGACACTTAGAATATAATGCTGAATGATTCTCCTCTGATATAAGGATGGTGCAGATGGTACAGATCGTACGAACAGTGCCATCTGTAGTCAGATGGTAACAATACGTGAGTATGAATACAGATGCCGGTTACGTAGTTATAGGAAATAATGCTGAATATAATTCTCCTTTGATAGGACGCGGTACAGATGGTTAGGATAATACAGATCGTACGGACCGTGCCATCTGTGGTTAGATGGTGAGTGTGAATACAGATGGTTAGACACATAAATATAATATCAAATAAGTATAATATCTAATTACCATGTTTACCATCTGTAGTCAAATGGTGACAATGGATAAAGATGGTATGGATACATATGGTTATAGGCATAATACGTTACATTTATTAACTAAAGATATATCTTCACTACATTACCTTTGTCCATGCAATATATGAATGCCAAATTATTCTCAGAACTTGGTCTTGGCAGTATTGCATTGACCAATGGCAATAACCATATTTTTTTAGAATGACCATTTAATTTAGTTTGTTATGTGGACACGCTACAAAACTTATTTTCAACGTTGAATTGTTTTAGGACAGTTTTTCATTGGAGGTTTAGTAAGATAAAGTCTAATTATTATATATTAATCTAAGTTTTATTCATAACCAAGTATGACGATATCTGCACAAACATAATGAAGGATAGATACCTACACTCACGTTGTGTAGTTCAAGATTGCAAAATTATCGTTGAATTATGGCAAAATAAGTATAGGTAATCATGCGATGGCGAGTACAATTAGGGATTAATAGTGCGAGTGATGTTTGAAATTTTGCCAAAATAGGACGAGCCGCCGGGGCGAGTCTAATTTGGCAAATATCCAAACATCACGAGTACTATTAATCCCTAATTGTACGAGCAAATTCGCATGATTACTTGTTTATTATTAGCATGACAAAATTGGATACTTCTCAATGTCAACATCATATTCTCTCGCCAAAGCCCAGTCCTGCAAGACTTTCAACCAAAATTTAGTGCTTTTGTTTGTATTTTCATTTAGTTCTTTTGTTAAAGCAAAATTTGGTGCTTTTGTATTTAATTTCACATTTGCGTTTAAAATACTTTTCCGCCATTTTGTTTGTTTTGGGAAATCATTAATTGTACTGCAGTACAATTAATGAAATAATTGTACTCCTCTCAACCAATCAGAATCCAGTAATTTTGTCATGCTAATAATAAACTAAGTAACACGTTAATCATACCATTACAACTTTAACAACGTGCAATGTACAACAATGGGATTGAAGCGTGTCTCATTTTATTTTTTTCTTTATATGAACCGTTCATGCAAACGCACATCTCTAATATTATATCGTAGTAAAACCAGTCATGTCTTTTGGAAGAAACTTTAGTTAAAAAATGTTTCATTCCCCACGCGGAAGCAAAATTCTTTTTTCCAGTTTTTCACATAACTTGCTGCGACCGTTCCAAAATTGACATGATAAAATCCATTTGCAACAATATAATGGTGGGCATCCATTGCCAGTGAAGAAGCATAGCAACTTAAATGCATTTTTGTCATCAATTGGCCAAAACACTGGAATTTATTTTTAAAATCCTTATTATAGAAATATAGTATGGATCCTCGTTGGGAATAGTATGGAAATCCAATTTTCATACTAATCTCAATTTCCATATTATGGATATAGTGTGGAAACAGTATGGATATACTATGGATTTAGTGATGCAATTGCAAAATCAGCATTCCCTTAGGGGCGAAGGGGGTATAATTGATGCATACATTTGCGTACGCACGCAAAATGACTTCTTAAGACAAAAATATTAATTTTATTTCAACAAATAAAGGCATGCGCACTAGATGAATTTCCATCTACAAGAACCCGCTTCAAAAATAAAGAGGTTCAGATTTGACCATTAACGAACCCTTCACCAATCAGATGCGTTTATCCGATCATAATCATTAACCAACCAGATGCGTACTAAGCCAGCGAGAAGTAGTGGCAGCGGTTGTAAACCACTCAACTATGATTTGTGCATGGCCAACCTTTTAACGGTTTTGCTTCGATAATATCGCACGACTGATTACCATGACCTGTATAATATAGGATGAATTGACTGTCAGCGTATAAGCATTAGTTTGTTACAAACGTTGTATTAATTTATCTATTTTACTTTTTCTATACCTGTCGCTGCCGTATAAATGTGCGCAAATGATAAATTAAGTTTTATAATAAAATAAACAAGAATATAGAAAATTTTAAATGAAAAAAACCCCTGTATTTCTAAGATAAATATTTGATAATTCTATGAAGCCGGTTCAGTAAAGTTTTGATTGCGTTTTACCGTAATTACTAAGTGCATGCATGCATGCGTGGTAAAAATTGCTTTGTTAAACATGACCCATGCACCCTTAACTCCACCGATAAGTTTAATTCTCACTGCCTCTTTATGATATGTTAAGCACAAAAACATCGACAGAGAAAAATGTAGACCACGCGCATACTGTACCTAACATAACTCTTATAGTCAGAACTATAGCTATTGAGCCCGAAGTTGTTGCCAAAATTGTCTTGTGTAACATGTCTTTAAACGCGTGTTTCACTCGTTAATTTCTTGTTGCATGTCTCGTAACGAAACTGAAAACACGCTAACTAAAATATATATCGGCAGAGCTAGTAAAAGGCTGCTTCCATGTTTAAGCGGGTCAGTTAAATTTCATATACACGTACGTATAATACGCACGGAAAAGTTTAAAACTTTCTACATTTTATACAAGTACTAACTATATACGTCAGCAAATATATTTTAAATCACGCACAATACTAAATGCTGTCCTTTTTAATTAAAAATAATTTAATTTTTTCACACAAAAAGACTTTCGAATGGGGCGCGATTTCTGACTACAGGTCGAGACACACCGGACGAGATTCGACAACGCGGCGATTTTTCGTGACCGATATAACTTTGATCCTGGTTTAAGTTTCTCAAATATTTAGAAGCGCTATAACATTTTGAGTTATTTGGTCTACATATCTTTTAAAATTTCCTTTCATTGGCTATTTTATTAACTTTCAAAAACTGAAAAATCGCGCCGCGTTCTCGAATCGGGTCAGGTGTGCATGCCTCGGCCTTTAGAGTTGTTATATATTCAGGAAAAACGTGCTCGCAGAAAAGGTATACGCGTAGTCTACGTTTTACTCTGTCGATGTTTTTGCTTAATTTAACATATCAACTGAGAGGCAGAGAGAACTAAAATTATCGGTGGAGGTAAGAGCGGATCATATTTGACAAAGCAATTTTTGCCGCAACATACATGTACTTACATAAAACGAATATAATGATTGTTTTTCGCCATGCAAACATCCAAGGAAGTCATATAACTAACTAACCATTGCATGTTAAACCTGCTAAAGCTTTCCGTTCATATCAGAGTGTAAAACACATCACACTAAACCAAATTTATTACACCCGCACGGCCATATAGCAATACTTACCTTTTATCACTGTGAGATTAACCTTGTTCAGTTTCATCAAAACAAACAGCACACATAGGAGTGCAAAAACTATACTCTGTGACAGCCTTGCGCAGGATGTGAGGACCACGTTTACAAACATTTCACAATATTTTGTAGCCATTGTTTCATATAATAAGTTAATAACTTGGTTTTATTGCGAGCTAATAGTGTATGAAATGCAGGTACTATGCTATACTTAAAACAAACCTAAATTGATTCGCAAATTATTTAGTGCAGGATCGATGGGGGGACAATGACGTCATATGGCGCCATGCAAACTTAGCAACCATTGGAGGATACTTGTGCATTGGGGAGGGCGGGGGGGGGGGGGGGGGGGGGGGGGGGGAGGTGATAGATACAATTTTGAAGGGCAAATGTTGACAATAAGCAAGGCCAGGTATAATGTACAGGTTTATGTACCGCAGAATACCCCAAAAATTTACATCTCTGTTATCTTTTGTTAAATATATATAATATGGCCTGTTATTATTTTTTAGTATAGTTTATTGATATTTTTTCTTCCTGGGGGTTTTAGGGCTAGAAAAACTCTAATGTTCCACAAAATACCAGTGCAGAAAACACACAAGAAATAAGAAACGGTTAAGTTTATCAAATGTGAAAGGTAAATACTAAAATCACTACAGAATACCAGTGGTGTGTACGAAAGAATACCAGTTTTTTAATAAATAATTTTTAAAAAATGCAGTTTTCCAATGCTAAGTTTGAGTACTCGGGGTGGTTTCTGTATTGTAATATATACTAGCTATTGTGCTGCTCAGTTGAAATACATTGATTTTACATGTTTATTCTATTAGCTACTTGAAGCAACCTGATATTCAGGCTTAATTAACATAAACTGTAAAAAATTCTTGGCCAAAAATCAGGATTAATCCTGAAGTCTGGGCACAAGTTTAGTTTACCAGTTTTTTATCTGTTCCTTCTAAATCAGTAAAATATAAAAGCATATTTTCCCTATTCTACTGGATGTTGAATATTTAACAAATATAAAACATTTTCCGTGTGGATATACAGTTATATCAACACAACCTCGTTCCCAGAGTCTTTAATTCATTCGCCTCGCGCCGTTCTAAAAAAGATCCTGGGAACGAGGTTGATATCAACACTCGTGGAAATCGGGACAGAGAGAAATTGTGTGGAAACACACTTTCTTTTCACACAATTTCGAGGTTCCCAATTTCCAAGAGTGTTGATATTTAACAAATATGAAACATTTTCCGTGTTGATATAACTATATATCAATACGGAAAAATGTTTTATATTTTTTTTATAATATAGCAATGTCAAAAGCCCGAAGGATGAGAAACATTTCCGTGTTTACAAGCGGCGGAAAATTTCCCGTGTTGACATTGAGTTATATCAACACGGCTCTTAGCCAATCAGCGTTCAGAATTTACAA